CACTTAGCTCAATTTGACCAGAAATATCACTTATACCCAAGTTCTTTGCTTTCAAAATTAACTAACAAGAAGATATTATCTTCGTCTTCCAATACACATTTAGTTTAAATTAACGTTATTATTGAAACTACTAAAAAGTTTGAACATATATGAAAATTTGAACATATAAATTATTGAATATAATACTTATTAATTAATTAATTACATGTTTTTCTTTTTGTTACAGCTTGAGTGCGAATCTAATGGATTTGAGATGATCAATCATTGTGCAACTAAAATGTAGTCCTGTAAAAGTAACGAAAAAAAGCCTACCCGTATGTATTCGTTACTATAACAATGAGTACTCGTTACTTTCGTATCGTTACCGTACTCGTTACTTCTGATATCTCATGAGATGGCATGTCTATTTATAGCAACGAATCAGTCGTATCATCGTATACTTTGTATAGTATGATATCGCGGTGTTGCAACATTCGTAATTTGTACGTAGAAACGTACCAAGCTGCATTTTTTCACTTTTCCGTGTTTTCATAGGTAAATTGTAACTGGAGATGGAATATACTAAATTAGTTGTGGATTTACTATTTTGAAAATTTTAACCGTGGTAATACATCAATTATAACGATAAAGCTCGTAAACTAAATAAAACAAAATTAAAACCACGTCAATAATCTTTTATTCTTAGAATGAAATTAAACATAATTAAAAATATTTTAAACAACACATATTAAATAAAAAAAAATTATGGTAGGAATCTCTGGTTCATATTTAAAAATAAAATCTTTTCCATTCGCTTTGGCTGAATAGAGCTGCGCCTTTCACTTAATATTTGGCCCGATTTGGAAAAAGTTCTTTCAGATGGTACTGAGGTAGCCATCACAGATAAATATTTCTCGGCCAAGTTTGAGAGTTCGGGGTATAGAATTGCCCGTGCCTGCCACCATTTTAAAGGACACTCGTTTCGAGGAATAATGCGTTCTTCTAGATATTGTCTCATTGTAATTGTGCTGCTACTAACTGAGTTCGTACAGTTCGTAGCAGACGCTGACGTTGCCAATGCGTCAAAATCTTTCCATATACAGTCGTTATCGATATCGGTGTCACCAGTAGATATAGCTAATGTCGATTCATTTTCTGTGGGTTCTGTTGATTCTTGATGAGAATTGAATTCGTTTTGCAGCTCAGTTTTCAATGCATCTTTGGCAGACTTGTAACTTAATGCATCAAATCTAAATGCCAGCTTCTTAAAACGGGGGTCTAGCAGTGCTGCTTTAGATAAAACTGGGTGCCTGTAATAATTTTTAAATCTACCTTGAAATTCCGTTATTATTTTATTTGCCAGTTTCTTTCCTGTATCTGTAATTAAACTTCTATCTAAATTGTCAAAAATGCTAATCATGCTTTCTGTCGAAGCCAGAACCATTGAAACAGTCACTTTTATTTCTGAAGACATTTCTTCAGTGATTGCTTAAAAGGCTTTAGAATTTTTATTATTTCAGGCAGTGTCTGCCATTCGCCTTCCAAAAGATTTTCTACTGGGTTGTGTAAAATTCCAAGAGAAGCTTCTAATGGCTCTTGAAGTGAACAAATCCTCTCAATCATGTCTAGGGTACTGTTCCATCTGGTCATTATGTCCATTTTTAGTTTTAATGGTTTGTTGTTGGGCCTCAGCTGCTGTTGCATTGCAACTAGTTTTTTGGTCGCTATTGGACTCTTGTGGAAATGTTCCACAATGGCTTTTACTTTTTTTATCAGCTCGCCAAGTCCCCTGTCCTGAAGTCCTGCACGCACGACTAAATTAAGAGTGTGAGCGACACACGACAAATGTTCATAATTTGTTAATCGTATAGCCGCCTTCATGTTTGCTGCATTATCTGTAACGCAGACAAATATTTTATTTTGTATGCTCCAATGGAAAAGCAAACTATACAGCTCATTTTTAATATATTCGGCCGTGTGACGCTCATGACATTCAAAACATCCTAATAAAGCACATTTTAACTCCCAATTTAATAAATAATTATAATGGGCTGTTACAGCTTGATAAGACGTTGTTGCTCTTGAAGTCCAGCCATCGGTGGTGATTGACACATATTTTGCGGCCACCAATTCTTCTTTTAATTTGTTTTTGACTTCTGAGTATTGAGCGTCCAATATAGTATTGCTTAGTATGTACCTTGAAGGTATTTTGTAGCCTGGTTCTAAGTATTAATGAGATCTTTAAAACCTACGTCTTCAACGACTGAAAAAGGCTGAAGATCTTTAATTACCATTTTAAAAATTAAATCATTAATTTTTTTTTCTTTTACTACACCTACTGGACGTTTAATAAAGGCACTTAACTTAGTCTGCTGCGTGTGGTGCTGTGTGTTGGTATGTTTTGTTTTAATTACAGGATTAGTAGATTCTGCACTCGCTGAAGTGGATGTTATAGGAGCTTCCAAAACTTGTGCATCTAAAGCGGAGNTATTTTATTTGCCAGTTTCTTTCCTGTATCTGTAATTAAACTTCTATCTAAATTGTCAAAAATGCTAATCATGCTTTCTGTCGAAGCCAGAACCATTGAAACAGTCACTTTTATTTCTGAAGACATTTCTTCAGTGAGTTGCTTAAAAGGCTTTAGAATTTTTATTATTTCAGGCAGTGTCTGCCATTCGTCTTCCAGAAGATTTTCAACTGGGTTGTGTAAAATTCCAAGAGAAGCTTCTAATGGCTCTTGAAGTGAACAAATCCTCTCAATCATGTCTAGGGTACTGTTCCATGTGATCAAACTATACAGCTCATTTTTAATATATTCGGCCGTGTGACGCTCATGACATTCAAAACATCCTAATAAAGCAGATCCAGATTTTAACTCCCAATTTAATAAATAATGGGCTGTTACAGCTTGATAAGACGTTGTTGCTCTTGAAGTCCAGCCATCGGTGGTGATTGATACATATTTTGCGGCCACCAATTCTTCTTTTAATTTGTTTTTGACTTCAGAGTATTGAGCATCCAATATAGTATTGCTTAGTATGTACCTTGAAGGTATTTTGTAGCCTGGTTCTAAGTAATTAATGAGATCTTTAAAACCTACGTCTTCAACGACTGAAAAAGGCTGAAGATCTTTAATTACCATTTTAAAAATTAAATCATTAATTTTTTTTTCTTTTACTACACCTACTGGACGTTTAATAAAGGCACTTAACTTAGTCTGCTGCGTGTGGTGCTGTGTGTTGGTATGTTTTGTTTTAATTACAGGATTAGTAGATTCTGCACTCGCTGAAGTGGATGTTATAGGAGCTTCCAAAACTTGTGCATCTAAATCGGAGCATGGAATCATTGTTTCATACGTCGATCTGTGTTTTTTTCATGAGATGCTTTTTTAAATTTGTAGTAGAACCGCCTTTTACCGAGTACATTGAGTTACAAAGATCACATTTAACCTTATCATCTTTAGTAGTCTGCGTAAAAAAAACTCTATACTTTACTTCTTTTCTTATCCATTATAGCAAGTAAATTCAGCTGTCAAACAGAATAGAAAAGTGTAAATAATAATAAATCGAATATAACAATTAATAATAATCAAATTTAACAGCTTTTGTTAACCAAGAAACAATTAAATCTCATTGGATTAACTAAATTTTGAAAATATGCGATATTAAAAAACAAAAACATAGGTACATATTTATAATGTATATAAAATATTTTCTTACCTTGTTTTTATTCCAATTTCAAACATTGTTACAAACGTTTTTAAATTCACCGATAACGTTTAAGTAACGTTATACGTCAATGGAACACATTCACGCAAGTGCATAACCTATAACAGATAATAACAGTGAAGCTAGGTACTAGGTACCGAGGGATACGACAGATACGAGTGGATACGAGTAACGAAACGAAATGCATTTGCGAGTAACGTTTCGTATCTCGGTACTAGGTGGCATACCCGTTACTCAGTACCGAATACATACGGTTTGCTTCAGCTCTACTAAAATGGGGCCATTACATTGATAATAAATATTTCGCCTGATATTCAATGGAACTTCCTTCAGTAGGTCTATCATGTTTAGGTCCAACATAAATTTGTGTATTATTTCTACAATATGCTGCTGAAAAGTTTTAATAATTTCATATTTGTGAAATATTGTTAGGAACCAGTCTTTTATGGCTGTGCTATGGATAGGTATGCAAGCGTTTTACCAAGAATGATTACCAGAGAACTAGAATAATTCTTTGTTTAACGCATGTGTACATGCAACCTGTACATTTTAGGATCTGCTTTTTTTGCTAATTTGTTTTATTAAAGTTCCCAAAATGTAACTTTTCCTTATCACTCTGCTTCTTGAGCTCTGTTTTTTTGAGCTTATGAGTTGGCTGAACAATTCGACGTTTATTAGTAGGCAGACTCTGCTTATTCGATCTATTAGCCAAGTATAAAAGATGGAAACAATATTTGGAAAGGCGCGATATTGATACAAGCTTTAATACCACTGTTTTGCCTTATTTATATGAGAAATTTTATTGAGGATTCCATACATATTTTAATGTGGTAAAAACGCTATCAAGAGTACTTTTTTCTAATTTATTATGTGTTGAATGTTGAACACAATCAATCAATTCATCAATCGGAATCATTATTTGATCAATCTTCCTCTCAGCAAGAAAGTTTTTCATGTCTTTAGCGCGGTGAGTACTGGCTGAATCCCAAACTAGTAAACCTCTATTCTGACCCCTCAACAGTGGTGGCAGCATAAAATCAACCCACTTTCTTATAACTGCTTGGGTGCACCAGGCTTTTTCACTTTCAATGACATAAATTCCTGAAACACGTTGAATCTGGTCTTTTTTACCTTTAGTGATTAAAAATGGCGATACTTTCTTGCCATCTAGACGAATCGCCAAAATACAGGTAACACGTGCACTATCGTAACCGGTAGAAGGAACGTAAATTGACGAAGAAGCCTTGTGGTGAACTGTCGTTTGAGCTCCTTGGCCTAGGAATACCGCGGTCTCATCCATAGCAATCATGTTGGAGAGTTGGTATTTCGAAAAATCGATGCCATCAACAAAAAGCTTAAACGCAAGTGCACGCTTAACAACTTCATTGTCTTCCAGCTTAAACAATGTTGTTGATCTCCTTAGAGACAGTTCATATCGTTTAAGGAAGTTGTCCAACCAGTGTGACGATGCTTTAAATTCTTCTGTGGATATATCAAATTCAATTGCTGTTTCAAGGGCAAATTTTTGAATATCAGCCCTGCGCACAACCAAAGCCATTGCTCTCCTGCCTGCAATCCATTCCCAGATGCAATCTTCCAACTCAGAAAATAACGACTGCCGACCTGATCCAACTCTGCGTTTTTTCTCATTTCCTTGGTCCACCAGTTGACACAGGTAATCGTAGTCTGCACGCCATTTACGAACCATACGGAGATCCAGCATCTTCTCTTTACAGAATGCTACAAGATTTACACCCCTGGAGTCTTCCACGATTCCCTTTTTGTACTCGACGGAATAGCTCTTTCGTTTTGTACTCATTTTAACTGGGGTTAAAAATTATTCACTTTATTTTTAAATAAAATTACGTATGAGGAAATAATCAGACTTACAAGACTGAAATTATTTACGTTGAACGCCGTATACCCTCTGTTCCGTAGTGTGAACAGCGTGGACCTTCGATGGTGCGTACAAGTGCCGCTCGGGGAAATCCCTTATTTTGTACTTTAAAGCACATTCAATATATCGTGTGTTTTAGAAGAAAAATTGTACAATTGGTTTCTTAAAGAAAGAGAAAAGAATCACGAAAGGAAAGCTAAACATATTATTACTTATACTTAATAAATCAACAGCATTTTTTAACGAATTCTTTTTGTCACATTATTTTAACTAGGGCTTATTTTCGGAGGTTGTCTTATTTTCGAAAAAAGACGGTAGAAGGTTTGCGTTTTTTTTTTGTTTTTTTGCTTTCAATGTTGATTATTTATTTTTATCTGGTGGGCGCTGGTTAACAACAAAACCTTGGTTTTACGTTTCCATAAACTTTATTATTAATTACACTTAAACTTAATACATATAAATTGCGATTAGTCATATAGCGAGAGTTATATAGGGAGTCTTGCTCCGCGTGAATTGAAGAGGTACTGTTTCGGTGGGTGTTAAATCGAAGACTGACTGAATGACTGATATGGATTGAGCTCGCAGGCTCCTTCTTTATTTAAGGTCATAACTAAAAAAACCTTATCTAAACACTTAAATATACACCCCAACGCATTCCCACACTTAACTCAACCAAATAGATAATGCGATAAAAAACCCTAATCTTGCGGCTCGAGACACTCCAATTCCAGACTAAATAACTAAGATAATACAAATAAATCCAATATAAATGAACTAATATAATATAAAATCTAACAAATGTGACTGATAGCCATAATGACTCAAGACCGACAAGCAATTGTCACATTAAAATAACAACATTTTTGAGATACTCCATAACGTTAGATTGTTGAGCAGACCTTTTAACAATGCAATACAGCGAATCTTGCCAATTTCATAATTGCCTTTTTGGCCTAACAAGGAGCATTTTCGAGCCAGTTTATCAGAAATCAATCGCTTCAATCCTCTCACTATTGCTTCTTTTGACGTAGTCCCACCTGAAATACTAAAAACTGTTGAGTGTAATTAAAATGAACATTAGGTAGAAGTAACAATGTGGTAATATGTCGAGATAAATTAAAACAATCCTGTGCAAGTGCCAGAAATGTAAAGTAAAATATGAATACAAAGCTTACCAACTGATTTTGCATTGTTTGATTTTCTAAAATCATTTTGTCATATTGTAAATCTAATAAGTCATATCTAATAGATACTTAAATTTCGCAAATTGGTCTGCAGGTGCTGTTTCAAAGCTATTTGTTGTGTCCAATACAGTATTATGATTCAATCTTTTATTTGTCAAATGATTGATTATTCTTTCTAACATTATTCTATTCTCAACATTTTGTTTCATTATAATATCAACTTTTGCTAAAATTTAATAAGTTTTTACATTTTTAAATAAGAAAAATATTAGACATTAAGTTAATGTCTAAATGTGTATAGTAGGTAATAATAATTATTTCAGGATTTCTATTTAAAATTGCACATTTTGAGACGTAAACATAACGTTAAATTAAAATATTTTAGCTTTACGGTTGCCTTTACGTACCTACTTCAAGGTCGTCAACATGAGTTATTTTGCTAAAACTCATACTTCATATTTAAACTTCAACTTTACATGACTGCATATACATTTATGTGTTATTGAATCTGCAAAAGGTTTTAAGGTTTAATATAAGTATTTTTCAAAATGGTTCCAGTTTAGGATATAATTAACATTTTTAAAAACTAACTGTAACAATTTATGCAAAAATATATTACTAAGTAATGATCTTACCTTCTATATTCTCATTTTCACCCCCTGTCCTTGCATGGAACCTAAATCAAATATATTAATGAAATAATATTTACCAATAGTAAAATGTAATTTTTATCAAATTTGTTCTCACTACTTCCTTCATTTACGTTATCTAAATTTATAGAAGATTCGTACAAAATATTATCGGTACTTTCATTCATCATTATGTTGTCTAAAATTATAATTTCCTTATTGAGAGAGTTCAGAGAAGATTCTATTTCACTTGAAAATTTGTTCGGAATGCGATATTTTATTACCTTCGCAGAGGCGTATGCAAAAAAAAATCTATTTCATTCGTCTCTCAGGGTGGTTTATCTATCTAACCTCTTCGCAGCTGTTTACAATATATCTAATGCACGGCTCATCATTATTGTATTGGTTTCATCTGCTTTTCTTTTTCCTCGCAGAATATATTTGGCAGATGATGTGGTTTCTTGTTCTCTCTGCGTTGCTCTTCAGCACTTCGCGCAGAAGGCATGACGCCTGGTTCGATATCATCCTCAATTTCAGATACCTCACCCAATTCCTGATAATATGCATATCATTACATAAAATACTATTCCATAGCATACTACTATAGTTTATTTTATATAAAATTTAGTGTTTACATTTATTGTATTAATACTAATATATTTCAGCTACTACCTTCATTACCTACAACCTGGAAAGAATTCAGCGACACATTGGAAAAGCGGTGGAACCTGCCTCACTGCGTTGCTGCCCTTGATGGGAAGCATGTTATTTTGCAAACACCAGTGTCGCGAATCATAAGACCACCGGTCTTACGTTCCACGATGGTTCGGAAACAAAACGCTTACAAAGTCATTGATCAACGTTTATTTCAACAAAGCACGTGTTATTATAACCACTCGAACTCAATACATGAGCCATACATGAGCCGAGCGAACGCGATACATCCACGACGGAGTTCTAAAAACTACAAAAAATTACGTATGATTCTTCGCAGGTTCCCACTTAACAATAAAGCGCTGACGCCCCTACTCGGTAGGCAACCCAATTGACGATTAAATAAATAAATACGAATTCTCAACAACCAGCTACAGTTGGTACGATATTTGTTGAGCCAAAATTCCCAGAAAGGAAAGATCAATGACGTTCTATTCTCGGAAAGCAACTGTTATTCACGGCTTGATATTTGCACGCAGTGGCGTACCTTTAAATTTTCCACGTTATTTTCGAATATTTTTTGCACTTTTGGTGAATATCTCAGAAACTAATTAACGGATTTGCAGCAAGCTTTTATTGTAAAAAATTAACTTAGGTATGAAAAAAATCATTTTTTTTGAAAAAATAAACCAAGCAAAGAAACTTTTATTGGATTAACTAACCTACAGCTCCTAATCTGATAAATTTTAAAAGTCGTCCTCACTAGAAGTTTCACTATTAGAAGCTGTAATAATTAAACTTTCTGTTGCCACATCAATTTGAACCTCGTTTTCTAAATAATTATTTTTAACTTTAACAACATTTTGACAACACTTCAACCAGTCTTCAACAGGAACCAACGAAAATTCTTCTTCTGTCAGAGTTTTCACAGCGTTTAATTTAAATAATATATTTCTCTGTGGTTCTTTTCGCTACTTTGTTTTTAACTTGAGCCCATATCATTTCAATCGGATTTAAATCGAGATGGTAGGGCCACTTCTCATAATTTTGCGAGTTCATGTCGCTATGATAGTCTCCTTGGTCCAGATTTAAAAATCAAGAGACAGTTAGGTATGAAACCCGTTTCACCACCAGCGTGAACAATAACCAATTGATTGCCTTTAGATGTGGGCGATAGTAAACCATTAGTGCTATTGTCTGTCCAACTATTGGAACTAATATGACCTGCGTGAATATAAGATTCATCTAAAAAGACAATAGGTCTACCTTAGCTCTTATAATATTTAATTTTATCCAAATAATTCAACCTTAAAGCGCGAATATCATTCTTCTCTATTAGCAACCGCCGATTGTCCCGATTGATGCGCCGGAGGTATCCCACAATAACAATTTCGTTTTGTAAATATCAATCAGTTTTAATACGGTTTCCTCTGGCCACTCCATAATTAAATACACAACAGTGAGTGAAACAAGTTCGCGAGCGGTTCAAACCATCTGGCGGCTTCGTCGGCGAGTCCTTTAGTTGCTGTTTTTGTGTTTATGCCGTCTTGCATTTTGTTGCGGGTGAAATATTCTTCCATTTCGCTTAGAAATTTACTTGGATCTTCTGTCGGTTCGCCGTGGAATTTTGGGATTTCGTCCTTCATCCCTAAGTGCGTTTATAGAAATTCCGCTAGAGCGGATACCGTGTCGACTCTAGCGGTATCCTTAGCTTGGGCCAGGTCTTCAATCTTGATGGGTTCGTCTTCTTGCGAAGAGCTGCTCAATGCCTCTGGATAGGAAACGTAGCTTGATTTGTCCAGGATTCGTTGACTTCTGCGAAGCTGTTTTGTTAACGGAGTTTTCGGCATTCGTACAGACCGGGTTGAGCGCCAATTGTTATAGATGGAGATGCCCAAATAAGATATGTACCGGCTTTAGTTGGTTTTGCTTGGTCTTGCCTTCTAAAATTTTCTTCTACATATTCTAAAATTAATTCTTCTAATTAAGGAGTTCGAACTGATCTCGGTTTGCAGTTGTTCATAAAATTATGTTTAAACGATCCATTTTCTCTTAATCGGGCTTCAATTCGTGAACATGTTTTTCTGTACGATAAAAAATAACTAACTCTGTTTTAAATCTAACATATTTCCAGGAGGTCCATTCATTTTCGAGTAAATATTTCAATCGGTTGTTAGAGCAAATTTTAGAGTTTAAATTAATCTATGATAAAGTGAATTATTAACTCTTCGATGAGTGAACATAGATTATATATTAAATATCGGTAGAGTTGAAATTATAATCTATAGATTTTACAATGCGTAGATTTAGCAATATACTCAAAGTTAGATTTAGGTATATTCTAAATAAACTTTTTTCAACTTAATCATTAATAATTATGAGATGGTTTTGCAACGGCTTCGTCAATTTACTTCTGAGCCAAGCTGGAACAGGAAGCATGTAGAGCATTGCAAATATAGCCCTAAACAGGTCTAAAAAAAGGAAAAAAGTAGGATAAGTTTTAACTTATACTAATTATGACTTCTGGCATATGACCGCCACGGTTGGCTCGGACATAGTCTAATCTGGAGGTCCAATTTTCGATTACTTTTTCCAACATTTGTGGCCGTCATCAGCAATAAAGCGGGGAATGTTGTCCTCCAAGTGGTCAATCGTTTCGGGCTTATCGACGTAGACTAGCGACTTCACATATCCCCAGAGAAAATAGTCTAGCGGCGTTAAATCGCACGATCTTGGAGGCCAATATACGGGTCCTAAACGTGAAACTATGCGGTTACCAAACGTTTCCTGCACATCATGGTTGTTTAATTGATGAACGGAAAAATCAGTAAT